TAAGAATATTAGTTTTTAATAATAACTTAATATCTAGAATATATTGAATAATCATTTAAATATTAACAAATAACTAAGAATATCAATGAGTTTTCAAAAAATAAAATTATTTCAATTATTAAAAAAGTATAATACTCGGCGGGGTTCTAAAAGAGAGATAGGCAAAAATCAAAATAAGTACCGCTAGCTCAGTTCTTTATAAAATCTTATATAATTTGATATAGTGAATAATCTAATATTAAAGAATTAATATTCAAAATTTCATTCAAATATATTAAGATTTGGTATTGACTGAAAATGAATTCCCGACCGTGAGTAGATAAATCCCACTTGCTGATCCTATATTTGTCGAGAAGCAAAATACGGATCAGTGGATTGACTCCTCATCACTTGTAGAGATTTTGAGTCGATTTTGAGATAGACTTTTAGACTAGCTGATGAGATCATGCTTTGGAAGTAATCCATGGGAATTTTTTGGGAGTGACGAGAGGAAAGAAGGGATCGTGGACAGGGTTGAGAACCACCTGGAGTTGGGATGATCATTACATTGGAAGGAAGTGAGCGAGCAAGATGGGATTTGGTGCCCGGAAAGAGTAAAATAATCGAATACGACCTTTGCTTCTGTGATGTGCATACAGCAAAGGTCAAACGAATACCGAGTACTCGCTGCTTGATGTATATGAGAAATTCACCCAAGATTGAATAAGATATAGCTAAGGGCACTCACTACGTATGAAGTAAAACGGAAGGCACTTTTCCTACTCAAGAGGGGATATTACATTTTTCCTAATTCATAGTAGTACAGAGAAGAGCCACTTCCGCTTTTTAATTTCATTCTAGTCCCAATAGTCATAATCATCTCAAGCCAAGCAAAAACTTTCCACCACCTTCTTTACCACCCTCTCCACCACCGGGCAGGTAAGTGACATTAGGGTTGCCTGCTAACGTCTGCGCAATCTCCCTGCTAGCCTCGATTCTTCGAATCATGATCAGACCATCTCCTGCCTTTGCAACAGCTCTGCTGATGGTTTCTGCACTCTCTGCTTCACCCTCTGCACGGATGACGTTTGCTTGTCTTTCCTGCTCTGCCTTCTCAACAATGAATCTCGCTCTTTCGGCATCTTGTTGAGCAATTTGCTTTTGTTCGACGGCGCGAGTGAACTCTTTACCGAATGTCATGTGTGTAATTGAGACATCCTCAAGTGCGATGTTGAATTCCTGGGCACGCTTTAGGAGATCCGATCTAATACGGTTGCTGACTGCTTCACGTTGGGTGATAAGTTCAGCTGCATCGAACTGAGCGACGATGGATTTAAGAACTTCATTCCCGATGGAGGGGAGAACTCTCTCGTCATAATCTTGACCCAAGTTCTATTGTATATTAGCGTCCCAGGTACTTGCAAATATGGAAGAGGCAACAAACCTGGTAAATCTTAGGTAGCTGTTGGACCTCAGGTCTATGTAGAACTCTCAATGTCAAGCTGACCATCTGCATATCCTTACTTCCCGTTGTAGTCGAGATATTTCTTGGCTTCGTGCGTACATCATAGATGATACTTCTTTGCAACCAAGGAATCAAAAAATGTGTGCCCTCATTGACGACCGTCTCCTTCACTCCAGACAAACGATCGAAGATAACTGCTCGAGTGCCACCCTTTACATCGTATATTGAGGATTGAACGGCAGCAGCACCAATTCCTAAGGGAACGATGAATTTGTAGAGGTTATTCAAGGATTGCGCCATCTTAAATATTGTCTTGTGTGTGGTGGAGATGATGATGTGCGGATTTACTTCTCGAAGGCGGGATATCTAGAAGCTCAGTGCGGAGTGTGGTTGACTGCAGCTTGACATTTTTGGAGAAATTTCGCGCTAGTAGTAACAGGGATACTGGATAATTGATAGATTGCTTGGCGATAATGAGCCGATGTCCGACTTCTTGGATTAGAACTTCTGTTTTTACGAAGACTATCCCATTGAATCTTCAGTTTGGCATTTCGCACAGTAAAAAATATGAGACCTACTTCAATTCTTAGATCTGGTGGTGACGGAGAGGTTGGCAAGTATGGAAAGTGAGTATTTCCAGCAGGGTTTCTGTTGTGAATGAGAAAGAATCTTCACGGGCCTTTACGGGTGGCCAGACAATTATCTGGGCGCGGCAAAGTTATAGACTTCAAGATGCATGGCATGCTAATATTTATTCTTACAGATACATTGGTGGATGGGGTAACTTGGGTGAGTCAAAGACCCCTTTTCCTCCGATTGCCTAGTCATCCTGTCGTCGCAGCAACATTTGGCACATCTCGAACCCAGAAAGACGCAAACGTGAGATGAGATTTGACAAGGGAAAAGGGAACTACTCGAGCAAAAAGCGACAGCACAAGATAGATTATGCGGGGTCAGAACAACGAGTAGGAAAAGTTGGCTGATAGTGTGATACGCAGGCTCTCAAACACAGAAGGGTATTGCATCATACGCACTCAGCTCCAATCGACAACGTCCTTTTGCCGGTGCTTTGAACGCCGCTTTTTTCAACACCTGGAGACGATTCCGTGGCCAAGTCCTTTACGTTGCACCGCCATTCATTATTGCATACACTGCCATGCAATGGGCTATCGAGAGGTTTGTCTTCTTGTCGGCGATATAAGCTACACTGTGTTCTAACCATTTTGGATAGAAACGAATACTTGAACTCAAAGCCAGGAAGATTGGAACACGGCGGCGGGGCAGAGTAGAGCCTCTGAAGTACATGGCCACATGCTAAGCAGTGTTGTTGTTGCGATTTCGCTGGCCCTCCAAATTAAAGAAGTTTGGTGGCGATGCGGAAGTCGGAAAGGAATTAGTGTGTACAGTAATATTAGACTGGGATTTGCAATGCATCATGGTTTTTAAAACTATCTCTGTGCAGGTAGCCCGTCTGTGATATTTGCCATTTGTGAAGGCATTTCGATGTTGTGATTTGGCACATGAATGAGGTCGTCAAGAGTAGAGCACAATACGATAATAGTACTCTATTACTCTCTACCTCCGTGATAAAATCCCATGCCAGACTTTTGATTGATATTCAACAACAACAACTCGAGTAGAACAATTTGACAATTCCATTTGGGCAGCCAGGGCAGCATGCATTTAACGTTTTTTAATAGCAGACCCCAATCGAGCCTAGCGCTAGTTAACCCGCCGAACATTTTGTAAAAAGTTCTGAACCTTCGAGCTTGGATTTCATCGCAAAACAACAAAATTGCCCAATTACCACCACCAGCCATTTTATATTTTACATTAAATCTTCTTTGCAAAGTAAGACTTTAGAATATTCATAATGGGTAAAGATAAATCCGAAAAGCGCGACAAGAAGGAGAAGAAGGAGAAGAGAAGTGAGGTCGACGGTGTCAAGAAATCTTCTAAGAAGGACAAGAAGGTCAAGCTTAGCGAAGATAATGTAGCTGCTGCCATTGCCGAAGTTACAAAGGAGCCAGAAGTCGAAGTTGTCGAGATGGACATTGTGGTTGAGGAGAAGGAAGGTGCAGACGTCGAAATCAAACCAGTAGGAGCTTTGGTTCCATTCGCAAACCCATTGGCCGATGAAAAGGTCGCAAAGAAGGTGCTCAAAAGTGTTAAAAAAGGTAAATAGCTCTTTCCAATTGCTTTCTCATCCCCATCGTGGAAGCGTTCCTCGTAATAAAAATACTAATCGTGTGTCCGGTCGTAGCTGCCAAAAACAAAACCCTCAAGCGTGGTGTTAAGGAAGTCGTCAAAGCTCTACGTAAATCTCCTCAAGGTGCCAGCAATACTGTTTTCCCAGGAGTTGTCATTCTCGCTGCAGACATTTCGCCAATGGATGTCATCTCTCACATTCCAGTCTTGTGCGAAGATCACAACGTACCATACATCTTCGTAACCAGCAGAGCCGAGTTGGGAGCAGCAGGCAACACAAAGAGGCCTACGAGTGTGGTGATGGTCACAGAGGCGAGGTCTGGCGCAAAGAAGGCCGAGAAGATTGAGGGTGAGGAAGAGTTCAAGGATGTCTACAAGGATTTGGTTAAGGTTGTGGAGAAGGAGGCCAGGAATGTTAGAGTATAAGAGAGATGTTGGAAAACAAACTTTCTGCTTATGGGTTGGCTACAGATGCGCTTTTCGGCTGTATCATATTAAGAGCATGCCTTACCGTGCTTGGACATTACAATGGCGTTTGTGAGTATGGGTATGGCTAGGAATAAACAAAACGTTCGATTTTAATTCAACTTCTGTGCAGAACAGATGCATGGTGACACTTGGGTTCTATTCTCTGATTATTTGCTAAATCCACGCAGGTTATGTACATCTAAAGTATGCAACGTCCAAACGCTCGAAATTCTCAGATTCTGGCTTCATCCCCGTCTGCTCTACCAATTAGTTGCCTGCAGGTGGTGAAGGAATTTCATATTATTCTGCTGTGTAGACGTCTTTGGTGGCAATTTTGTCTGACAAATGGCGAACTTGGGCCTGTACGAGTGACTATACGATTATAATCACTTGTATCTAAGCCAGCGACGCTGTGATTACTCCGGCTGTCCAATGACATGTCCTATTCATCCTCTGCTTGTGATGATGAGTCTCCAATACTTGCTCCCAATGTAACCACATGTTGTTCATTGGCATGAATCTGTTCATTACCATGCGTCTCTACATTCGACGTTTCCTTATCCCAATCTCCATCATAGCCACAATCAATCTCCCCCTTGGCTTCTCGATGTTCATCTGTCAAACCCTGTACCTTCTCAGTCTCCTCTCCTACTGCATCGACGTGAATTTTTTCTGCTTTGATCTTCGAATCTAATGGCGCGTCACTGTCTAGCATTTCCAAAGGCTCCTCCTTTGTATCCGCAGACTGTTTTAGCTCTTCCTCCAATGGACTCTCTCGCTGGTAGATTCAATGATGTCTGCTCGGCTGGGCTTCCATTTTCTTGCTCTCTCCTCTCTTCGATTGCCATTGAGTCTGTGGGTCCAAAACTGCCGACCTCTCTCCCGCATCAGCCAAATCTATACGAATACTTGGTCGATCATTGCTGGTGTCAATACTAGAATTAGCTTCTTCCGTGGCAACTTCGCCCTTGATGTTATCACCCTTTGTACATGGAAATGTGTCGCTATCGCGGTAAGTAGTATTATTGTCTTCCACGGGATATACTTTTTTTGGTTGTTTCCTGTGCTTGGCTAGAAGGGCTTCCGCATAGTTGCTGATGATTGTATCGGAACGTTCTTCAGCACTGAGCCCTTGAACTTTAGGGTCCGGTTCTTTTTTACCAGTCTCTCCCTGCGGGAGAGAAGGTAGAGGTCCTGTAGGTGGTGCTCTTGTTACGGGATCGAAGAGCTTCGATTCCGCAGGATTAGTCTGATTCTCAGACAATAGCGAGGGGATGGCTCGGAATGCATTGGCATTTGGCGTGTCAGGCGACTCGCTTTCGAAATACCAAAATCTGAAGTCTTCTGGCTTTTTTCGTGGAGCAATGTCTTCGGCAGTAGTGTGTCGCTCTCGTCCCCAATACCATATCGTAGGTTCGCCTTGTCGTACTCGAGGGATAGACTCGTGGTCAGTAGCAAACACATTTGTCTTTACTCGCGGTGCAGTGTCTTGGGCAGAAACCAATATATTCGGTCGTACTTGGACAGTGTCTTGACCAGGCTGATCAGTCGCAGCTCGGTCTGAGTGTACCTGCGGAGCCATATCTTGTTCAATAAGAAATCCGTTCAGTCTGATTTGAGGAATAGCATTTTGGCCAGTAGCATATCGATCAGAACGTACACGAGAAGCAGTATCCTGATAGGTCTGATTGGTAGCAATTCGATCTGAGTGTACCCGTTGAGCAGTATGTTGACCAGTTGTAACTTGCTTTTGTTCCGAATTCATGTTTAAGAGAAGGTCTGCACTGACACGAACTTGCTCCGCTGATCTTTCCATGGCTTCCATGACTTCCAACGCATCGACAGGATTCACCCACTCTGTGTTCCCATTCTGAGGCCAAAATTTCAATACTTGATGTTCCCCACCAGCTTCTTCACCTTCATCATCCAACAAATTACCATATTGTATGGTATTGCCCGTTCTCTGTCCTGCCTCCGCCAACTTCAGCTCAATATTCGACTTCGTATTCCAAAGCTCTACCGCCAGCTTCCCTAAGGCACCCGTTGTCAAAGTTTCTTCCCAATGACCTTCACCCTCCAAAACCCATCGCTTGGTCAGGCGCCTCGCTTTCTGAGAGTGTTTGGCTTCCTCGACGCAAGCGGACAATCTATGCTCGACGTCTTTAACGTTTTACAAGGGAAACTATATTCATTGAAATCAGCGTCGGCAGTAGGCGATCTTCTTCGATACCAAACACAATAACTTGTAGATCTTGGTCCCTTTCATACCTATAAAGACAAACTCTTGAAATTCTGAAACGAACCACACTTACGTGAATTTCAGATTTCTAATCTTCGCGCTACCATAGCCAGTACATGCGGCATATGTGTTTTTGGCGACTTTCACTGATCTTGGAAAGGACCATTGTTGGAAATGTATGATATTATCGATAACACCAGTGAAGTGAAGTGATGGGAAGCACCGGAGTCGAGGGTTCTTTGCTGCGTTGAGTGTCGCCACGGCTTGATCCACCTCTTTGTCCTCCACCGCGATTATTTCCGCAACGGGGACGTCCTCTACGAGTATTGCCGGTGTTTTCTTTTGTATCCACGTAGAATGTGGAGGATTCAATAGGACCCCCGACGGCACTGAGAGTGATGATAGCCTTTGGGAGTGTAAATTCCGAGTTGAGGAAGATTTCTTTCCGTCTTCACTAACAGTACTTTGTACTTCTACATCTAAGTCACAAAGAAATCAGATCATAATAGAGTAAGCCTGAGAACTCTTGCTTCCAAGGATTTATTAAGTAGAAACAGCTGATATACACCCATAAAACAAGGGTTCATGATTACTTTTGATTATATAGAAACTCCTGTAAGTTCTCAATTCTTTTGATACGGGATGATACGATATGCGTGCTATAAAGATGAACTATCGTATCAAGGTAATAAGTTCGCAATTACCTCCATCTCTCATTGCAATGGCTCGATCAAATTAACAAATTCACCTAAGTATTTTCTACCTCCAACTCCTCTCAAAATATCATCTACAATCGTCAATAGTTTTTATCTTGTCCAACTCACAAATGTATACAATCGACGTTGCCTGTCACCTTGTCTATTTTCTACACTTTCTCCATCTTCTTCGACTTCTTTATCTTTTACATTTGATTCAGCTTCTTCACCAATATCTCCTGCAGCTTCTTTATCAATGCTTTTACCTCTTTCATTACCCCAAAAGTGTTTATTTCTATACCAGGTATCTATATATAATCGTTGATATTATTCAACTCCTTTATATCTTTTATTTTATCTTCACTATCTTCATTAGTATCTTCTATAAGCTTTTTATCAAAATATCTATTTTCTCCTTTATCCCAAGAGTCTTCCCTTCTATATTGAATAGTATCCTGTTTGTATAGCTCCATGGAAGTAATTGATGGCTTCTAAATAAGCGATATTATTTCCCAGTCTTATCTTGTTATTATTACTATTTGCTTCCAGGTTTTGCCAAATCGTTTGATATTGTATTCTGTTGGATATTTCGTATTTCTTCAAGTTGTGACCTTAACTAGTGTTAAGGTGAATATTTCAGATTTTGAGGGCAAATATTCCGGAAAACAGCAGGTGGCCTCCTCCAAATCGCCCACACCACCCTCCACAATACATACCTCATAGCCAACAGCACCCTACGTCTCCTACACAACAACGCACGCCAATTGTCCGCGCACCTCCGATGTCCAGAGTCGCATTGGTGCATTGATGTTGGATTGGGATGCTTTTCACGAAGTGTATAATGAGGCTATGGGAGAGATGTATGCGAAGGATGAGGAGATGATGGCGTTGTGGGTTCAGGTAAGGGGGTGGATTCTTTCGTTTGCACTTGAAGATATAATAGGAACAATGCAAGGTTGTATAGAGTAACTCCGAGTATTTTCATGGATTATAAGATTGGGATAATGAGCGAAACAATGATAATCTGATATCCGAAACATGTAAAGTACTGGTATCGCATTGATACATTACCCCGCCTTCCCTGAAACCCCTATGTTGAGATTACAATATAAAGTATATAGTAGATATCTTATCAATTATAAAAATAGATAGATATAAGTATATATTTTAATATATATATAAATATAGATTGAGTTATATAAAGAGATTTTATATAATTTTTTAATATTCTAATATCCTTTTTTAATAAGAAATGAAATTGATAATTCTATAAATGCTTTATAATATATTCCTGAATTTTATTAACTTTTGTAATAATATCTAACTATAATATTTATATTTTTTTATAAAATTTGATATTCTATAACTTTTTGTATTATAGTATTTATTCATTTATTTAATAAATTAACGTCTAGAGAATAGATAGAGCCTATCTATAATCTCTCGAAAAATACTAGAGATAGATTAATATAAGATACTAATTATATAAATATAGAAATCTATATTTATTATTTCAAGATAACCAATTTTCTTATATTTCTAATATAAGCTTTAATTCTATAATTAAATGAAAGGATATTATTCTTTTACTTTAATAATAATTTGTTATATATAAATGATCTATTCTATTTAAAATATATTTATTATTATTAAAAAGCTTTTATAAGCTTATATAGTTATATTTATTATAATATTAGAATAAGAATTAGATTATTATAAAGTTTTTGATTTTAATAACAAAAATAGATATAAATAAATAAAAATAAAAATAAACAGATATAAATAGATATAAATAGATACAAATAAGAATAGATATATATATATAAATATAAATATATATAAATAGATAAGAATAGATTATAATATCTTTATTTGGTTTAATTAG